GACATGTGACTATCTTATCTTCATGAGAATTGTCATCACAATCTTGCAATTCTAAACTCATTTCTCCACTTTTGTGCTGCAAATCCCCAAGGCCAGTTTTTGCCCAGGAAATGCAAAACATTTTAATAGTAATCCATGACAAAATAACCAGGAATTTAATTCTCCTACAGAAAATGACTATACTCAATAATAAAGGCTTTGACTATCTGTCCTCCACTACTTTGAGTCAATGATGGGGGTGCTGTTTCTCTAGGGGAGGTGGGGGTGGGGAGCTGATCAAATAACTCATGAGCTACAAAGTTTTCCCATTTACTTGCAAAGTTTTAAAAAGGATTCCTTTATATCTAACTGCCAACTGTGGCCAGAGAATAATTGTAGCATATTTCCTANATGTATAGCACTATGGTAGGTGTCACTAAGAACATGAAGGAATACAGTCTCTCTTCCTCTTTGTCTTTAATAAATACAACGTGGAAATGATAAAAATAGCAGCAACCAGCTATTCTGTGCTTACTATGTGCCAAACATTGTCTAAGGGATTTACATATATTGGGCTATTTAAAAGCTACGCAACCCTGTGACATGGGTATTGCTACACGATTATTTTGCTGACAAGGAAACTTGCTCAAGAGAGAGACTAAGTTCCTTGCCCATGGTCAAAGACTTTGTAAAGAACAGAACCAGCTCACCGTTTAACTACGGGGGATACACGAAAAGTGAACTGATATAAGAGGAGCATGCTAGCCAAGTTACATCAGCTTTAGAAACTAACTGTATGCCAAAGTCCCCAAGATGCTCTTCTTTCCTGCCCTCTATTTTGCACAATCCTCCGTTCCCCTGCAGGCGACTTGAGCAGAATGACGTTCGCAGTGCTGGGGAGAGCAGGCTGCACATGTGTACCTGCCATGTGCAGAGGAGTTCTTCTAATCTTGCTCTCTGTATTCCAGGCATCTGGGCAAACAGTAAGCAAGTACTGGAGGATCAGAGGGTCGCCCTCTTGACTGGCGATGTGGAAAATGTTCCAGCCGTCTTTGTTCTTCAGCAGGGGGTTGGTGCCATGTTCCACAAGGTCCTGGATCACCTCAAGGTTCTTCCTTGTGCAAGCCATCATCAGGGGAATCCTAAGGCCAACCAGGACAAGCTGTCAGATGGAGGCAGCTGAGGCGAGAAGCAAGAAGCAAGGGACCAGGTCTTCAGAAAACACACATCCTTGGCACAGATGGAAAACCTAAAAGATCAGGGGCCTGGGAAGCAGGAAAACAGCTCTGACTAGCAACTTCTCTGCCAGCCGTGAGGACCCTGAGAGAAATAACAAGGGGAAAACAATCCTATGAGTGTGCATCTGCAGGAGGGGGGTACCTAGGAGGTAGAGCTGCTTAGAGCTAGTTCACAGGATAGCAGTGAATTGGGACAGAGCTAATAAGCACCATAAACCACCCTCAAACATAACCAGTAGGGGAGATGTAATTTATGTAACTATATGGCTCTCTCCTCTGTTTCCAACTTATATCGGATCAGAAATCACTTGAAGGCAGGGACTTCATCACGTTATGAACCTCTTTTAAGAGGGTCACAACCTCTAACGAACCCAACATAGGGAGTGCTAAAAACAATGTCAATCTAACAAACAAAATACGATGGCTTTGTGTGACGGTAGAGTATCTTGATTGTAGTGGTGGTTATGCAAGCCTACATATGCTATAAAATTACACAAGGCTCAACACCCACAAGAGCACAAGTATACCTGATGAAATTTGAGTATGTATCCCGCATTGATTATAGCAATGTCAATTAAAACAATGCAACTGGTGAAGTGGTAATTCAGCTAAATGTCCTCAGAAGAACATCACATCCCGGGGCTATATGTAGTACACACGATCCACTGTTTGATTACATTGCTTGTAGTTTGCCCGCACTATGGGGGAAGGCTGAGCCAGGGCGACCCTGCCGCTGAGCGGGCCTGGGCTGAGAACTACGAGCTGAGAAAAGCTACGGTGTGGAAGGGGACGGACGGCGTACACGAAAATCTACGACTGTGCGGGGAGT